TCAGCTTTCTTTGTTGTGTTTGTTATTAGTGAAATGTTTGTTCTATCAGTCATGGCCTATGATCGCTATGTGGCCATCTGTAACCCTCTGCTCTACACAGTTATCATGTCTCAAAGGGCATGCCGTGTGCTGGTGACAATGCCCTATCTCTATGGCATATTTAATTCTCTTCTGGTCACCATAAAGATTTTTACCTTATCCTTCTGTGGCTACAATGTCATCAATCATTTCTATTGTGAGAGTTTCCCCTTGTTATCTTTGGTATGCTCAAACACACATGAAATTGAAATGTTAATATTAATCTTATCAATTTTTAACTTGATTTTATCTCTTCTAGTAGTTCTTGTTTCTTACATGTTCATTCTTGTAGCCATTCTCAGGATCCCCTCTACAGAAGTTAGGTACAAGGCCTTCTCCACCTGTGGATCTCACCTGACAGTCGTGGTAGTGTTTTATGGGACTTTAATCTTTATGTATGTAAAGCCCAGGTCTACTCATCCCTCTGATACTGATAAAGTGGCATCCATATTTTACACCCTGATTATCCCCATGTTGAATCCCTTGATCTACAGCTTGAGGAACAAAGATGTAAAACATGCTTTGCATAGGGCTTGGAACAATTGTGCACTATATTTTCTCAAAGTTCATTAAACTGTCTGATTCATACAAATTGCATAATGAACCTTGAACTTTTTTCAGCGTGCCTCCACAGGTAATAATAACAGGCATAAAAGCACACATAGGTTCAACATGCATTCTTTATAACCCTCTGGCAGTCATTCTATGTAAGTACTGAAGTAGTCAATAAAATTATAAAACATTCTGCCTTCTTTAGTAAAGAGGTGCTTTATAAGCCTAATAACTAACGGATATTATAGTAAGTTAGGAGTCCTGGTGTGGCGCTGTGGGTTAATGTGCCAGACTGAAAAGCCATTTGAACTGCAAGGTTGGCTGTTCAAGCTCACCAGCTGCTTCTCAGAAACCCTATACAGGGTCGCTATGGGTCAGAACCGACTCGACGGCACTTAACAACAACATAGTAAGTTAGAATATTTGGAGAGGGTGATAGATTTTTAAAATATAAAAATAAGACTGAATAGGCATAGATAGATGTAGGAGAGATAATCAGTAGCAGATATATAATAAGAATTACAAATATGTGATGTTTTCTTTAACAATGACAAAAATATTTGCTGAAATTGTATGTGTGTGCCAAGGTGGTCAATTTCACAGCTAGAAGATTCAGTGTGGTAGATTTATGCATCAATCTTCTGAGTTTATTGATAGGCCTTGTTTCTAAACTCGAAATCCCTCTTATTCATCATCAGTACATTTACTTTCATATAGGAACCCTAGAGAATCTCTTAACTGTGTTATTATTTTAAGTATTATATTATATTGGTAATATAAATAGCAGAAATTAAAGTTACATTCAACAAAATAAACTTAGCATGTGGTTTTGTCTAAATCATCCCAAATAGTCTGTGTCAGTGAAATATGGCTAAGATAAATTTATTCAGGTTAGCCTTAGAAGTTTCTAGGTTCATTTTTGTTGTTGTTTTCTACTGCATTGATATTGCTCTCAATAGCATGTGTTTACCTCATAGATTGATATCCTTATCCCTCTTGAAAACAATGATTATTTTTATGTTGCTGTTGTTAAGTTTCGTGGAGTCGGTTCCAACTCATAGTATCCCTGCACAGGGTTTTCCAGGCTGTAAATCTTTACAGGAGCAGAAAGCCTCATCTTTCTCCCATGCAACACCTGGTACTTTCACACTGCCGACCTTGAGGTTAGCAGCCCGATTTGTACAATTTTATGTAGAAGACATTGATTAATTGCTTGTATGTCCTTACTTATGAAGTCTACTGTATAATGAGTTAGGTTCATTTCAATGTTTCTTTTTTGGATAAATTTTCTGAAGTGTGATCACTGTGCTTTTTCATGATATCAAATACAGACAATGGCAATAAACCAAAATGAAACAGGAAAACATATATGTTGAAAATCTGTATGAATTTTTAGAAATTGAGTGTTATAATACATAAATAAAACAATATATTAAATTGAATGTCTCAGGAATGTTTAATTTGTTTTACATTAAAAATGAATAAAATATTTTCACCATAATATAACTAACTGCATGAAAAAAGTTCTGAAACTTGTCATAAAACTTTGACCAAATTAGTGTTAAAATGAACTTCCTCAAACTGC